AAATTCGCAAATCTGGACTTTCAATCAAAACATTTTTGACAGTCTGGACATTTTTGTCCAGAAGGATCTTCTTTATTGAGAACATTTGTTTTAATATTGGATTCGAACGGTAAAAGGGTTTGTAATACATACCAGCTGACAAATGGATTTCGTGTACAAGTAAAGGTAAGACCATAAACTTTTATTATTTCTAGTTAGAAATAAGCTCAACTGGAATAAATTTTAACCTCAAATTAAATATGGGTCACGTTTGTGTGAAGAAGGCTGATATGAGATATAAAACATAACGCATTGTCTGTTAACAGACAATTTGTATTTGTAAATCTGACTAAAAGAGTTAGTGCCTCACTAGCTGTCAACCTCACCGCACGTCACTGGTGTATAACTTGTTTGTTTCAACCACTACAATACCAGTATACAAAGCATTACAGTAGTCAATTCTAGAGTGAATAAAAGCATGTACTGCTTTTTCAAAATCATTGAAAGTAAGAAAATGTTTCACCTTGGCCAGCAATCTCAGCTTAAGTCATGTGACCACTGAGTTAATCTGTCTCTCTACTTTCTTTCAAAGAGCACACCTAAATTCTTTACTTGAGGTTTCAAGAATAATGCCATGGGGTCTAGATCATCCCAATCAGCTGCCGAACTATTCATTTGGACAGGAGTGGAGCTGATTTGCATAAGTCAAACTGAGGGAGCGCTCATGGAAAATTCTGCCAAAAGAAGCTCTTGATTATGTGATGCTAACAGCTGTGCCATGGCGTAATGGGACCCTGGGAGGCGCAAGTGGCCTAAATGCAGATGCTGCAAACGTGTTTTTATATCGCAACGTTCAGGAGAAAAAAACCTGGCAGTGCAAACATGATTCTGGCTGAAAGTGACGCCATCATCCGACATGCTGAAATGAATTTAACACATGGATGAAGTAGCATTGAAATAACAAAGGAAACCTGACTTGCTGTTAGTCACTATCTCACTGAGCAGAGAAAACCTGGCAGAGTTTCCTCTTATGGAAAAAGAGATAATATCTATTTTTTCTGGAGCTAACATTAGCTTAATTGGCTAGTCAAAGTTAATACAATGTTTTAACACTTCTTATTTAACTCAGCAAAATGGCGGTCAGCAGCCAGAGATAAGTCTTTTGTTAAACTACAACCTACTAATCATTCTTCCACGTTACCACAGTGAACTTGATGAAGCTCAGCAGTCATTTCCATTTGCTGCTTTGGTTTCAGATGTCAGTACTGTTATTGGGAACGCACATTTCTCCTACTGTGACAGCCTCGTTTCTCTAGGAATGTGGCTTTACACCTGGCTGAGACATGGGGTGTCACTATACATGTGCATTCACTCCTCACATCTTTCATGAACAGGGTCACAGGGCTGGAGCCAATCCCAGCTGACACTGGGCGAGAGGCGGGGTCCACCCTGGACAGATCTCCAGTCTGTCACAGAGCTGACAAGTAGACAAACAACCACACTCACTCCTATGGGCAATCTCAAGTCACCAGTCAACCTAAGCTGTGGGTCTTTGGACTGTGGAAGGAAGCCGCCGACACCTTTTCACATGGTGACATTTACACCAGAGTTTTTCCCAGTTGCACAGTAACTTGTTACCTTCTTAATGATAACAATAATTGCTTAGCACTTAGGACACGCTTTAAACTAAAGCAACTTAACAAACCATTAGCTACAATAAAGAGGAGATTTACTAATTACATTCACTAATTAAAACCTATTATTTAAGCTGACTCAGCAGATTTCTTAAACTAGCCAAACAGGATTAGAAAGATCAGTTCTAAATAGCAACTTTGTGTGCTGTTTCACAAAGTTTGGAGGTTAGTTCTTAACAATCCAATTTTTAGAATTGTGTTTCCTCCAGGAGGTTTAGGCAGATGATTTCAGAAGTCAAATGTAATTCACCTTTGCCTGCCGACTCTGTTTCTATTTTGGTTGAGAAATTTTTTTGATTTTTCCCACAGCACAAGAGTGTGTGTATGTGATATGGACTTCAGGCTGGGTTTTGACTAAATATAATCAACCTTATTAATGGTATTAGCCTGAAGATGCTAGTGTTACATGCTGGTATATACTATGTATTTTGTGTTGGCCACTGTGTAGGTCTGTTGCTGTTGTCGGGTCAGTGAGAAAAGTACTGGATGTAGAGGTGGTGAGCTGTTATCTCATTTGAAGTTATTTTCTTTGTTCTGCTTCTTTTATACATCAGGGGCCGAATGCTTAAAGCTCAGTGTCGATTCATGACTAAAGCTGTGTGTGCATGCTAAGATAGAAGCAAGCATTGTTTTCATCAGATTTATAAAGCCGCCCAGGTTTTGTTTTATAAATCCGAGTTGTCGTATAATTGGGCACGTGCACAAGATTCTTTTCCACTCCCACATTTAGCCATAAATATTAGTAAACTATAAAAATGCCCTTAATCAAACATTTGCATAGAAAAAACTCTGTGTTATTTATGGTCTTAATGGGTTAAACTCTCTCTGGCCCCTCTCTGCTGATCAGAGCCCATAAATGCACCCTCTGTTCTCTGTTAAAGCGGCCCCCTCTGCTGGTCAAAACCCATAAATGCACTCTCTCCCATCTGTGCTGGGATTTAAACATCATACAACAAGGTTAAAGCTGAATGTGAGCAGATGTTTTGATGCTAGGGAGGGAAATAGTTTCCTGAGTCTTAGCCCTGGCCTGAGGCTGGGTGGCGCCCTGGATTCGTCCCTCCAGGATGTTGTCGGCGGTGACCTCGAGGGATCCAGTGAGCTCATGGTCCTAGAAGATCAGCTTGAGAGGAACCTGTGGAAACACATTCTCGACCTGCTGAGCCTGAGCCTCAGTTACCGGTTCTGTTCTTGGTAGACCAGTTTATCTGTAACTCTGCAGCTGTGGGGGCGTCATCCTGCCCTCTGCATAGTGACTGTGGTGTTGATCTGAGACGGGGTGATCGGGTCAATGCCCAGAACATTGGTTGTGGCCATAACCTCCACTGAGAGCCTGGGTAGCCAGGTAGTGATCTGAGAGCCTAGGAACACAACAAGGTCAAAGGTCAGAGCAGAAAGAGATCACAAAGCTGTGGTGGGGAAGTAAAAATGAAATGGGTCTAAGAAAAGAGAGAAACTTCTTGAACCTGTAAAGAAACAGACAAGACTGGATGACGAGAGATAGGGACTGATCTTTTCATCCAACTGTTAGACAGCCAATGCCTGTACTTCCCAAAATGCTGAGCTGCTACTCTACATTCTATATATTATGTTATATTACACAGCCTTATGTTGGTTTACTGGCCCCTTGCATCGGGATATGTACATGCACATTGAGAGTTGATGTACCAGAGTCAAATTCCTCATGTGTCCAACACACCTGGCCAATAAAGCTGATTCTGATTCTGCTCAAAGCCAATCTGTGCGAGTACAGCTGAGATAGAGGTACATCACTGAGGCTGACAGCAGCTGAGCACAGCCTGATGTCCTGAAAGAACCACTGCTGACAGAAACTCCTTCACTGTGAGGTTATACTGTGATGATCAAGTGTTCCCTTAATTTTTTTTTTTCCGTTTATATTAGAGGTCTCCTCTCTCTCCTCACTTATTTGTTTATGTAGCTATGATGTTAAAACTCAAGAAAAGGTTGTGATAGTCCAGTAAGTGTACTGCCCTGTACTGCCCTTCATCCATTGTTGATTTGGGGCTGTGCTGTATTTACAGACCACTGTTTTCAAGTGGCTTGCTCCAAGATAAGGCTAAAATAACATGTAGTTGTAATAAATCGACTCTTTTCGCCATCGACAGCAGTGACACAGCTAAACATTTTAATTGTTGTAACTGAACCCATGTTAATGTTAGCAGTGTGGCCTGTTTTTCCTGCTTTGAAGTCATAATGTCCAAACCTGATTTATTTGGGACTTCTGCTGGAAAGAAAATAGTGGATACCTGAGGGTTAGGGTTGATGACTGAGGCTTTTCTAAACTGTCAAATTGCTTATTTCACCCACTCTGTGAAAACCAAAGATGTTCAAGTTACTGCACAGAAGAGTAAGAAAAACTGACACTGGATTTAATTTATCTAAATTGTTGCCCGTTAATGAATTCAGCTGTACAGTAGGCTGTACATGAATACTTAAAACATGTTAATGTTATTAATAAACACATTTTTATTTTGAACTTCAGGTACCTTTTACTACAGTTTAATGCAGATAGTGTTGCATGTTGCAGTATTGCTGATTTTAGTTTAAATTTTTTTCTCACCGCTGATTTTTCTCATGTGACATAAATTAAACATCCAATAGATACTGGAGCAGGTGTCCCTGAACGCCTCACGCTGAGTCCGAGGTATTTAACATTCTGCCCCGGACAGCGGCAGGTTGTTGCGCAGGCGCAGCCCTTTCAATCTGCATGAATACGGAGTGAGGAGAAGACGGGAGCACTGGGAGCACTGCGACTAGCAGGACACAAAGGATTGGACGCACCGGACCGGAAACGGGCAGGCGGACATGGATGGACAGAACGCCAGCAGCGGCACCTGCTCCCGGCCGCACGGCACCGGGATGGAGGGCAAGAAAAAGAAGAACATCCCCGACAGGGTGACTCTGAGGAAGGAGATCGGGCTGCTGAGCGCCTGCACCATCATCATAGGTGAGGCAGGAAACTCTGTACAACTGTCCAGGACCAAGTCAGTGTCGTTTGACTCGTACATTACAAATACAAATTAGTTTTAATTTCCTGTGCACCGCTAATGTATCGATCAGACCAAAGAAAGTCAGTTTGGTTTGGTCCCAAGAAATGAGGGAGCCCGTGTTTGTTTGCACGTGTCTTCACATCTCGTGTAGTGGCTCAGACGTGAAGTGACAAACAGCATTGTTCTGTGGAGCTCTTGTAACAGCAGCGACCTCCAGACACAGCTCAAGTAAAGCTGAGCATCATCTAGGCCGGGGGCGGGCTGCGCCACTCAGCTCTTGGATATCACCGTGTGACAGCAGCACAGCTCACTCCGCAGCAGTTTGCACACACTTCAACACAGGCCCTACACACGTCACGCGCTGTGCGTAAGAGCACCAAAATTAAAGTAGCAATCGTTCGTCTACTTTTACGATTAAAGCAAAACAACTACTATAGGTGCCGTCGAACCAATAAACAGTATAGACCATATTTCTCTGAAACGATACAACTAAAGAGATAGTGCTCCCATCTCCCTGCCCTGTGGTTTGTTGTGACGTACCCTCACGCCCCTCATGCCAGCAGATCAGCTGACAGTAACAGCCAGGATTCCTAGCATTTAGGAAAGAAAAGACAAGAGTCGGGTGCAAAGAAAAGGAGAAAATGATGACGCATCATTTGCAGGTATATTCGAAAACGTTATTCCGTACAATCAGGGGTTAAATAGGGTCGGAATCCACAGGAGCCGCCATTTAAATGTCAGATGGCAGAGCTCAACTCCGTCTCCTTCAGCATCACCGCGCTGCTAACTTTAAAAGCCTGGACCTTTCAGACCGCCTCACTCTGACAAACGGAATGTAAAACGCAACTCCCTTTCTTTGACTTTTATAAACCTCGCACAGTAGCAGGACACATGTTCGGTGCGCATTTTACGCACGTGGCGCACCAGCACCAACTTTATTAAATCTTCTGTTATGAACGTTGTGCAAGTTCACACTTAACAAGAGCTAGCTCGAGGTTCAGTTCACAGACATTAAATGAACTAATTCACATTCATAGTCCACAATTTTAAATTTTGAGCTAAGTTCACAGTCCCAAAAAACGAACCAGTTCATGTTCATTTCGTCTGTTTTGATTTTTTCAAACAAGGTGCTGAGCAGTAGAAAATATTTTATCAGTAGAACTTCCTCCTACCCATCACATTAAATGTTCTTCTGCACAATAAACAAAGTAGCTCTTATAGATTCACACTGAAGTCACTGGGAACAGGGCATTTGTGCTTCAACAAGTCCTTTCTACAGTGCTCCCATAACAATTAAGTAACTTAACAGAGCCTCACATGTGAAGATGCTGTCATGAAATTCTTGTTTTTTTATTTTCTGTTCCCACCTGGCTGAACAAGTTTGAGTACCACTGGTATAAGAATCTGTATAAAATGGAAACGTGAACATGTACAGTGTTTGATTTCTGATTGAAATGTCGTCACCTCAGCTGCAGGGCACCTTCATTTTAATTATTTATTTAACCTTTTTCTACCTGGGAAGTAAGTCCCACTGAGGTTTACACTCTAGCAGCATTAAAGAGTTGGAGACAATAAAACACACACCCAGTACTAAAACTGTACAGCAATATATGAATTCTTAACAATTAAGCTGCTTAGCAAAGAACAAAAGCAAGAAGAATCACCAGTCAGTGAATTTTGCTAGTGACACAATTAATTCATTTTAGTTCCAGGCAGGTGCAGCAGAAAACACAAAGGTTTCTTTCCAATCTCTGTCTAAACCCAGGGACACAAGCAGTTTGGTGTCTGTGATCTGAGAGTGTAGGTGAATGAGCTCCGTTGAATAAATTTGTGAGGATAAGGTGGTGGTTTTTCTAAAATAGTTTTCTAAATAAAAATATAGCAATACTCAGACAGCACATGGTGAGAGACAACCAGCCAGCCTGGGGTACAAGACACAATAATGGGTTATGGTTCTAAGGTGACAAAAGAAAATGATAAGATTAAAATTCATAAATAATAAAATTGCAACTTTACACAGCAGTCTATACTCAATAATTCACAATGACAAAGTGAAAACAATTTTATAATAAAGACCAAAAGGTTCTGTTCATTATTTTTATGGACAGAATTTCTAGGCGCAGCCAGGGGCCGGAGGGAGTCCGGTTTGGGGACCACAGGATCTCGTCTCTGCTTT